TACACTTTAAGGACTAACTGGGGCTGCTGGCTTTTGTACCTAAAGTAATCTGTAACTACTGTAACAAATAAGGTCATAAATTGGTCTCCTTAACAGGAGTTGTAAGCCTATGCCTTGGACAATGGTCACAGAAACCCAACGCAGACCCGGGTCCCAGTGAGAGATCTTTAGAACTGGGAATGTTTATGCAAAGCACACAGTGTGACAGGTTAAATTGGGAAAGTTGCAATAATGTTATCATTGATCATACTCGTTACTCATGGGTGTTTAGATAGCTTTGTTGAATAGTATAGCTTCCCTCACTGCCAGTGTCTGTCCGGGGGCCCAGAGCACATCTGGGAAAACCGTGAGGGAACGACAGTGCTGAACTGGATTCACGCTGAGGATAATAGTGGGTACACAGGAATGGGACAGTGTGTAACACTGGGGATTTCTGTGCTGGGCGTTGGTGTTGGCTCGTTAGCTCATGGTCACTTCCTGTGCTGGAACTTGGCTAAATAAACTCCTTCCTCCCTCTTCTCTGCCTCTGGGTCACTCTCAGAAACAGTTGCCGGATCTCAGCCACAGCAGCGTCCCCTGAGCTCTCTGAAAACGGCCCTTCTACCTTGCTGTGATCCCTCATTCTTTGGGGCAGGACTTCACACTTCAGCTTGTGCCATTGCATGTTTTATTCCATTTTTAACCTCCTGTGTGTTTCTGACAACCGTGAACTCTATTTTGAGTCTGTACATGGGACACTGATGCTCCCAAAGCCTTGCAAAAGAAGACAGTGGCAGCAGGCCGGGAAGGCCTTCTCTCTAAAGACAGTTTTAGCTGAATCGTAAAGAAGGAGCGAGGCTTACCGGGCAGACCTTTGTTTCTCAAAAGAGAAAATAAACTGAACTGAGTGGGAAGTGAGTTCTGAGACACGCCTGGGAGGGGCTTCATGGAGTGAGCCTGCATGTTAGGAGAGGGCAGTTCATAGCACGGGGGCTGTGGGAGGGGCAGCAGGACACGGAGGTCAGCAGTCATGCGTGGACCGCGACGGCATGCGAGGGGCGATGCGGCACACCTGTGCCCAGGTGAACATGGGAGACGGGATCACTGAAGCCCCGAGGGCAGACTGGCCACGTGGAGAGATGGCGAAGGGCCATGCAGGTGTGCAGAGTCGGACACAGACCGGGATCAGGGTGATCAGCCATTAGAGCATGGGCCTGGAGGGGCGTGAGAGGAGCTTCGGTTCCGGACCCCAGTCTGGGCAGTGCTGCCCCGCAGGTGGGAAGGTGGAAGAGGGTGAATGGGAAGAAGGCGTGAGCTCAGGATGGTGTTGGGCTTGCTCTGTGTGCTCAGGGTCCCTCTAAGCAGGGAGCCTGGCGACTCAGTGTCTAAGTGGACAGGTCTGCGGAGGGCAGGGTGGTGGGTGTAGGGAGGGAAAGAAAGTGGGCGCCCTCCCAAAGGAGATCACGGCCCACTGGGGAGGGGCCCTGTGAGTGGACACAGCCATGTTGGCATGATGGAGGGCGGGAGTGCAAACGTGCTCGAGAGGAAGGCTGGCTGAAGCCGGGGTGCCAGGGCGAGGACTTGGAGGGAGACTGAAAGCACGGAGTCCAGATGCCACAGGCCTCAAACATCATCTCAGAAGTTTGCACCTGTGTGTGCATTATTGCCAAAGGGCACACACGCTCACCAGAGAGACTGGGTAGGGGGAGCAACCCCCAGTGGTGCGTGGTCAGGTCACAAGTCCCTCTCCACTTCCCCATCCTGTCAGGCTTCAGGGCACACATGCACACGGGCCTGACATGTTTTCTAAGCAACTGGGGGTGAGATTTAAACCGTGGTCAGCCATTTGTGATCTGGCTCCCTTGACCACTAGCTACAGGGTGGTCCCAGCTGTGTTTTAAGCTGGGAATAGGACGGATAGCAACCTTCAGGTCCGGGTCCATGTGTAAACTAGGTGAGGGTCAGGATTAGGACAGCCATCAGAAAAGAGAAGCGAAGCTCTGTGGAAAAAGACCGCAGTACCGGCAACGGCCTGGTTGGTTGTTACAGACCACACGCACCACACGCACTACACGTACCACATGCATCATAAGCACCACACACACCATACATAACACACAGACCACACACATAATACAGACCACATGCACCACACACTCCACATGGACCACATAGACTACACACACCACATGCAACACACACATTGCACATACTGCACACATCACACGGACCACACACACAACACACACCACACATCACATACACCACACGGGCCACATGGATCATATACACCACACAGCTCACATGGATCACATGCACCACACACACACACATGTGCCACACACACCACATGAACCACACATACCATGAGTACCACATGTGCCACACACACCACATGGACCACACACACGTGCTCCACGCCATACTGCATGCTGCAGAGATGGACTGCACAGACTACAAATAACAAAAGAAATCGGTCCCCCTTCTTGTTGCCTGGGAGCCACTGTGGCCCACCGTCCTGGCTGTCCCAGGGTCTTAAGACAGTGAGACCTGTACGGAGGTCTCTCCAGGTCCTCCACCTCCTCCCGTTGTCCAGATGACAGGACAGCCTGACGGGCAGACCAGGCACAGGCATCGCCCCTGGAGACAAGTGAAATTGGACAGTTCAATGGAGCAGAAGGAAGGGGACTAGGTGGCACTCGGACCCAGACTCGAGGGCTGTGTCCCACATCCCCACACGTGCAGGTTTTGTCCACAGCTGGAGAGGTGGGGATGGCACGCAGAGATAGCCTGGCCAGCTGCCATTGCTGTTTGCCTGGTGTGATGTGGCCTGGGGTGGCGTGTCTGCCTGAGCTGGGTCACGCGATTAGGCTGTGTGGGGGCAGGTGGGCAGGCAGTGTGACCCGGCAGCTGCACGTTGGCAGGGAACCCGACTGAGTGCAGAAGAGACAAAGCAGCCACGTGTGCCGTGGGGGC